CAGCAATGGGGCCACGAAGGGCATGCATACGGGGCCACGACGGGCGCGAACGAGCGGGGGCCACGAAGGGCATACGCATATGGGGCCGCAGAGGGCAAGGACGGGGCCACTGAGGGCAGAAACGGGGCCACGAAGGGCAGCGAGAAGGCCACGAAGGGCGACAGCGGGGCCACGAAGGGCATGCATATGGGGCCACGACGGGCGCGAGCGAACGGGGGCCACGAAGGGCATTCGTATACGGGGCAACAAAGGGCGACAGCGGGGCCACTGAGGGCAGAAAAGGGGCCACGAAGGGCAGCGAGGGGGCCACCAAGGGCGACAGCGGGGCCACGAAGGGCATGCGTATGGGACCACGAAGGGCGCGAGCGTGCGGGGGCCACGAAGGGCATAAAATCCGAGGCCACAGAGGGCAGCGACGGGGCCGCTGAAGGCAGCACCGGGGCCACGAAGGGCATGCACATGGGGCCACGACGGGCACGAGCGAGCGGGCGCCACGAAGGGCATTCGTATACGGGGCCACAAAGGGCGACAGCGGGGCCACTGAGGGCAGAAAAGGGGCCACGAAGGGCAGCGAGGGGGCCACCAAGGGCGACAGCGGGGCTACGAAGGGCATTCGTATGGGGCCACGGCAGGCGCGTGCGAGCGGGGGCCACGAAGGGCATTTAATGCGGGGCCGCAAAGGGCAGCGACGGGGCCACTGAGGGCAGCAACGGGGCCACGAAAGGCAGCGAGCGAAGGCGACCGCGGAACCAGTACGGGCAGCGAGGGGCATCGAAGGCGGGCGAAGGGCAGCAAGCGGCGACTGCAGTCATCAACGGACTGGTCGGGCGGGCAGGCCCCGACGGGCGGGTCGAGCGGGCGGATCGTTGAAGCGTGAGTCTTGTTTGAACCGCCAGGCAATATGTAGCAGGAGCGCGATCCCGGAGTGTCGTGGAGCGGCATCTGAATAAATTGTGAGGAAAGATTAAGCGAAACAGTCCTGTGGTAAATTGCCAAGAAGTTCAAAGCGAGAGCGCGATTCTTCAATAAATTGTGAGGAAGTATCAGGCGGGAGCCGTTGTTGTTGTTGTTTATGTTGTAGAAGTTGTTGTAAACCAGGCTGACGGCCGAAAGAACAAGGTGCGACCCCCGAAAGGAGCACTTCAGTTAAAAAAGCACAATGTGCACCGAGCAGGGGGGGATCAACACTAATTATGTGTCAGCCGTGAGAGCTTTCCAACAACAGCAACAACATCAACAACAACAACGACAACGACAAAGACAACAACAACAACAACAACAACAACAACAACAACAACAGCAACAACAACATCACCAACAGCAACAATCATTTCAAGCCTGTCCGCTCTTACTGGCACGCGTGTCTTGCACTCTGTACACCACAACCCTCCATACCCGCCCATTCCGTCTTCGATCGCACCCCTTTCGGGGGGATTATTTTCTTCGTCGGCCACTGACTGATTTGCGAGGATTTCTGAAGCGAGACCGCCGTTCCTGAGTTCGGTGGCCTCTCTGGCCAGGGGCTCTCGGAAAACAGATGGAGAAATATCAAGCGAGAGCCTTTGTCGCCGCGTTTGGGCCTCCACCAGCTTGTCTGAATGATGAGAAAGTTTCGAGCGAGAGCGCCACTCTTGAATTCGGGGGCCTCTTTGGCCAGGGCGTGTGCAAATACATCTTGAGGAAGTATCGAACGATAGCCCTTATCGTCGTAGTTGGGCCTCCATCAGTTTGCCTGAAACATGAGAAGTCTCGAGCGAGTGTGCCACTTGAGCTCGGGGGCCTTCAGGAGCTTTCGGAGTAAATTGTGAGGAAATACCGGGTAGGAGCCTTTGACGTCGTGGCTCGGCCTCCGCCAACTCGACTGAATTGCGAAAGACTCTCGAGCGAGAGCGCCGTTCCTGAGTTCGGAGGGTTCTAGGGCCAGGGTGTTTTGGGGTTGACTGTAGGGAAATATCGAACGGGAACCGTTGTCGTTGTAGCCGGGCCTCCAAGGGCCCACATTTACACTCAAACCAACGCTCGCGCGGGAGCTTCGTTTTCGGTGACAATGTAGCCGAAGTCGAGGCGAGAGCGCGCGGAACCGCTTCCGGATATCAGCAATCTTTATTTTGTAGACATGAGTACTCAACAACACCAACATCAACGATCAGTTTAAGATTGTTCGCTCGTATCTGCTCACATGCCAACCAGTACGAATCTCCAAAGCCCTCGGTACCCGCCCTCGTCGTCTTCGATCGTGTCCCCTTGGGGGTGTATCTTCCTTACCTGCCACGCGCATTTGAGTGCAGCCACTAAAACAGGGGAAGGGAGGACGGGTGGAAGGTGGAGGGAGAAGAATGAAACACGAGAAAAATGAGCAGGCGGGGGGCAAGGAGCAGAAAACAGCCGGTAGAACCAGACGGGCAGATCGGGTGGGCAGACCCATAGCGGGCAGGTCGGAAGGCGGGCCCAGGCGGCCAGGTCGAGCAGGCGGGTTGCTGAAGCGTGGGTCCTGCAGGAATCGCGAGGAAGTTTCGAGCGATAGCGCGATTCCCAAGTAAATCGTGAGAAAGTCCAAAGCGAGAGCGTGATTCTTGAGCGCCGAGGGCGCACCGTCTGAAGAAATTGCGAGGACGTCGCACGCGAGAGCGCGATTCGTACATGAAGTGTAGGGAATTCCCGCGCGAGAACGCGATTCTTCAATACATTGAGAGGAAGCATCAGGCGGGAGCCGTTGTTGTTGTAGTTTTGGGGCCAGTGGCGCAGTTTGAGCAGAATGACTTCCTCTGATAAAAAACAAGGTGCGCGCCCCAGGAGGGGCATTTTGATTGAATAACGCATACGTTACCAGAGGGGGATCAACAATGATAAGTCTCCAGAAATGAGAGTTCAACAAAAACACCAACAACAACGACAGCAGCAACAGCAGCAGCAACAGCAACAGCAGCAACAGCTGCCTCCGGGGATGCAGGAAGCGCCTCCCGGAAGTTGCAGCCCTGGCAGCTGCCCAGCGGCGCTTCGGCGGCAGCGTCGTGTGGCAGCGCGCGGGGGGCAGGTGGAGGCAGTCGCTGGCCGTGCGCGGTGGCTGGCAGGGAGCGCGGCTCATGCAGGTCATGTTCGCCATGGGTTTGGAGGATTGCTTCGAGACGGCGGCCCCCGCGGCCAGTGGAGATTTTGGCATGGATCGGGCGCCAGCGCCGCCCGCGCCGCAGCCCGCGGCCGGTGGAGATTTTGGCATGGATCGGGCGCCAGCGCCGCCCGCGCCGCAGCCTGCGGCCAGTGGAGATTTTAGCCTGGATCGGGCGCCGGCAGCGGGGCAGGGCGCCAGGGCCGCCGGTGCGGCTGCAGCAGCCTCCACAGCGTGCCGGGCGGCCACTTTCCCAGGCTCGGTGCAACCGCTTTACGTCGACGTCACCATCAGGTGCCCGCACGCTGCGAGGTACCTGCGCGCGGCGACCGTGGCGGGCGACGCGGCAGACGAGGCAGCCAGAGGCAAGCGCCAGCGGTACGGCAGTGCGGTCCTCCCCGTGGCCGTCGAGTCCAACGGGCGGCTAGGCGCTGAAGCTATCCGCTCTCTGGAGCATCTGGCCACTCATGCTGGGGCATGCATCGCTGACGCTTGGGCGGCCCCCAGGCTGGTCCCGCGGTGGCGCGCCGCGCTGGAGCGGATCACGCAGTGGGCCGCCGCCGAGATCGACCTCCTGGCCCTCGGCTGCGCGCCGACCGCCGCCCAGGCCCGGGTCGCCTGGGGCCGCGTCTCGGGCGTGGCGGCGCAGTCGTAGCAGCCGCCATTGTATGTTATGTTCATGTGTTCGGCCGGAGTTCGCTTCCTGCTCACAGGCACCAGCAACAGCAACAGCAGTCAGTTTCAGATTGGTCGCTCCTATCCGTTCGCGCGCCACTCAACTCTTATTTCCCGACCCTCTGTACCCGCCCGCTTTGTTTTCGATCGTACGACTTTGGGGGCAGATCTTCCTTACATGTCACGCGCGTTTAGCGCAGCCCCTAAAACAAGGGAAGGGAAGACGGATGGAAGAGGGAGGCAGAAGTATGGAGCACGAGAGAAATTAGCAGGAGAGGTCTAGGAGCAGAAAGCACATGGCAGAACCAGGCGGACAGATCGGACGGGCAGACCCCAGCGGGCGGGTCGGGAAGGCGGACCCAGGCGGCCAGGTCGGGCAGGCAGGTTGCTGAAGCGTGGGTCCAGCATGAATCGTGGGGAAGGTTCGAGCGATAGCGCGATTCCCAAGTAAATCGTGAGAAGGGCCAGAGCGAGAGCGTGATTCCTGTGTGTCGAAGGCGCGGCATTTGAATACATTGCGAGGAAGTCGCACGCGAGAGTGCGATTCCTGCACAGCCCCTAAAACAGGGGAAGAGAGGACGGATGGAAGCGGGAAGGGGAAGGATGGAACACGAGAGCAATTAGCAAGAGGGGAGCAAGGAGCAGAAAAAAGACGCCGTATAACCATACAGGCAAATCGAACGGGCAGACCCCAGCGGGCGGGTCGGGAAGGCGGACCCAGGCGGCCGCGTCAAGCAGGTGGGTTGCCGATGCGTGGGTCCTGCATGAACCGCAAGGAAGTCTCGAGTGATAGCGTGATTCCCAGGTAAATCACAAGAAAGCGAGCGTGATTTTTGAGTGTCGAGGATGCGGCGTCTGAATAAAATGCGTGGAAATTCCACGCGAGAGCGCGAATCGTACACATAGTGTGAGGAAATCCCTCGCGAGAGCGCGATGTTTCAATACATTGTGATGAAGTGTCAGGCGAGAGCCGTTGTTGCTGTAGTCGTAGCGAGGCCAACAAAGCAGTTTGAGCAGGAAGAGGTTTTCCCTGCAACAAAAACCGGATGCGAGCTCCAAGGGGGGTGCTTCCATGGAAGAAGCACAATGTGGACCAGTGAGGGGGATCAACAGTAGTTGTTATCAAAAACGAAAGATCAACAACATCAACACCATCATCCCCTTATCGCTCCCCGCCCCCCTCCTCCACCCAGCTCGCCACCTCCCGCTTGCGGGGGAGGTCTTCCGGCACAGCCGCAGCAGCTGATCGCTCACCTTGCATTGTACCTGCAGGCGCAACCCCTGCTGACGACGCGGCGCCCGCTCGGCCCCCAGCGAGGCGCCACAGGCAGGACGGGTCAATAATGATTCGGCCCGCCCAGGTGTGCCTGAGGAGCTCAGAAGCCTGGCCGACACCGCTCCGCCGCCGATGCTGCCCAGCGCGGGGCACGCTACCGACCGTCTTGCCACGCCTTGTCTCGCATCCTGCGGCAGGTTCGTACCCTGTCGGCGCGGCGGCGACTGCAGGGCTGGCATTCAAGGTTGAACGCCGCCAGTGGCAGGTCGACCGACATCGAACGATCTCCGCTGGCGGGAACCCGCGATGGTTCAAGCTTGGGCGATGCACACTGTGTCAGAAGCCGAGGCCGCCGTCGTCACAGCACGAACCCGTCGGACGCCTCGTCCTCGTTGCTCCTCTCCATTACGATCGGAGGTCGATGGGACCCCCCCGTGCCAAGTCGATTTGCGAGTTGCCCTCTTCCTGCTCTCGGGGGGGACTTCTGGCAGCAATGTTTGCGGGCCTCCACCTGCTGAGTCCGGTCCCAGGTCGTTTTCACGAAAGAGCGTTTTCCTGAAAGGGCTTCTGCCCACCCCCGATGCGAGGCCAGCAAGGGCCACACGGGCATGTTGTTGTTCACCAGGAGGCTCTAGGAATTCCAGCTACTTGAGTTGATTCGCTAACCCCGCTTCCCTAGCGCTCCCCCTCTCGTCCGTCGTGGGAAAACACGGCGGAAGGCTTTGGGCAATCTTCGGCCTCTTGGGGCCCTTTCCGGGCCCCAGGACCGCCAGATCATTGCTCGGGATGAAGAGCTGGTCCGAGGAATAGGTCTAGACCTCGGGGGTCCCGCGCTGCGAAAAAAAAAACAAACAACACGACGTCGGAGGGAGGAGGCGGGGGCTCCGTCCGACCCCATCCTCGCTCCTCCCCCTCCTGGCGAGGCGGGCAAGGGCCGGACGGGCATGTTCCTGTCCACCTACATGGTGCACGCTCGGGTCTGCGGCTCCGCCGACGAGGCCCTGCGCACCTTCGCGGTCCAGAGGACCCCCAGGGCGACAGGGGGCCCGCGGGAGGGGCGTACCGTGCCGATGGCGTGGCGGGGCACTGGCGCACAGGGTTGCTGGAGGGAGGGGAAGGGGGGAGGGGGGGGGAGGGGAGGGGGCGGGGGTGGAGGGGATGGGGCGCTGCGAGGAGGGCGAGGAGGAGGAGGAGGAGGAGGAGGAGGTGGAGGAGGATAGACTGCGCTCGCCATGCACTGCCATCAATACTCTGGAGAAAAAGGAGGAGGAGGAGGAGGAGGAGGAGGAGGGGGAGGGGGAGGAGGAGGAGGAGGAGGAGAAGGAGGAGGAGGAGGAGGGGGCGGCAGAAGAAGCGGCAGAGGAGGAGCAGCAGCAGCAGCAGCAGCACGATATTGGGGTGGTGGGTCGGACCCTCTTCGGTGTAGGGTCTCGAGCGTGAGTCTGCGGGCACGGTTTCTTTAGCGTTTCTGCCGCGTGTAGTGTTACGCCGAGGGGCCCAAGCCCGACCCAGCCCCTGCCACCGCAACGCGAGATGGCGAGCGATGAGGGGAGGGAGATAGGTGGGCGGGAGGCATGGGAGGAGGACGAGGGGCAAGAGAAGGAGCAGGAGGAGAAGGACGACAACGACGACGGCCGACTTCGAAACGGGAAGTAGCCTGGAGGAAGAAGATGATGAAGAAGAAGAAGTACAACTAATCATAATAATACTAGTAAGAAGAAGAATAAGAAGAAGCACGCGCCCCCAGGACTTGCGTAGGCCAGTCGGCAGGCCAAAGTGTGGAAGTGAGCACATGCGGGTAAGACGCGATGCGTTCTACGCCATGAGTGATTGGCCGACGTTGCCGCACATTGATATTGCTTGGAGCTTGCAAATTGAGATATGGAACTTGGAGCTTGGAGCCGTCTGGAGGGCTGAGATGGCCCAGCACTGGTTCTGGCCAGCAGACAGCGGTAATCCATGGGCCCCCTTGTCGCCACGGCTGGACGCGGCTCGAAGAACTTATCAGTTTCAACCCTGGTAGGGCAGGGCTCCGGGGAACGATTTTGAGCGGAGTTGCCCTCGTCGCCCCTTCTCGACCGAGTTTCTCGGGCCCCTCCAGCGCGTACCCCCCGGCCGCGTCTAACTTACGGTATGCAATCTGGGACAGCAAGCAAGTAAAGTAGCCAGGCATCTAAACTGCACATGGGAAGAAAAAGTAGCCCTTCGAATTACTCTCAGGAGAAAGCTGCGCAGAGGGGAGGAGGAGGCGAGGAGGAGAGGAGGGATGAGAGAAGCACAACGCAGAAATCGCCAGAACGAGCATGAGACGCAGCCCACTGCACTTCCGGGCATCCGCGTCTGCGCTGTCGGTGCTGATGCCTTGGCGTGTCTCCTCCGGGCTCACACACGAGGCCACGCAGCATAGAGATTTCGGGAAATGCTTTTCTGACAGGCCTTTGAT